GGGAAGCTTCACGATCTCACGGTTATCACTCGTCGTGGGTTCGAAGCGCAGGGAGCTATGTCTCTTGGGCGTGACAATGAGGTCAATATCGAAGGAGTCCCTATTGGGCGAGCTGATATTTGGGTTCAACGCCGTGGGATGCGTCTGCTGCGAGTGACTGGCCAAACGGTTGTCGTGGGGGATACCGGCATAAGAGCTACCGGCTATTGGGGAGCTGGGGGTTGGGGTTATCGGCGTGGTGTTCGCAAGGTTCGTTTGAACGGGCTCGTTGATGACAATCTTAGGAGACTCCGGACCCAGAGCACCGGCAGGAGGCGGCGTCAGAGGCAGCACAGCAGCACCGGGCGAAAGCGAGGACAGGGGACCAGCGGCAGATACACTGAACTGCTCCACAGCGCTCTGATTTACTCTGGACGAGGGAGGAGGCAGGCTAGCGTCAGGGGCCGGCAGGAAATCCTTTTTAGGGCTGCTGGATCCCGTGGAGTTGATGGATGACGACGAGCTCGTTGGTTTGTGGTTGTTGGAGTTGGATAGCGAAGACAGCAGGGACTTACGGGAAAGGTCTTTGCTCGCCGCGTCCTTCTCCTTCTCCTTCTTGTCGCTTTTTCTCGAGGACTGGTTTTTGCTCCTCGTAAGGCGGTTCTTGAAGCCCTTCATCATGATGGGCTGTTGGGGTCGGCGTTTCTGTTAGCGGTGTGGAGAGAAAACAACCGGACCGAGGGGGTGGGATCCTAGGCGGGCGTCAAGAAGAATTGGACAGTATATAAAAACGCAAGGTGTTCTGACGATGGCGAAATTGTTGGTGGCGAAAACTCTGGCGGTATGGATTTCTGTGTGCACTAGAAACGAACAGCCAGCGTGGAGGAAGTCGAGAATGGTGAGAAAGTTGGAGGTTGGAGGATTATTTGCGGGAGTGTTGACAAGCACGCACGCACTGTCTGGGTGCACAAAACCGCCGAACAGAATACTTTACATGCTACTACGGGCTTCAGGTGAAAATTGGGACTTTCTATGGAATTTAATATTCTTAGAGCGTAAGGGGCGCGGTTAGCTAGGCAGTGCTTTATGGGCTGACCTAGAACGGCCAGTCGCGCGGGAGTAGACGATTTGTCGCATGTGGAGGGAGTGGGTTGGATTTTTTGATTGTGTTTATTGTTTGTATTAGTGGTTCAATGACGCTATATTTTTCCGTTGGTTCACTGAACTTTCTATGGACAATGTCTTTTATGATGATGGTCTGAGCCTCGATTAAAGGTCTAGACTGGTGAGTGCCACCTCAATTAGGCTTTGGAAGCGACACCGGAGGATTTGAAGTTAGAATGCGAGAAAAGGATGTGGCACTTGAAGGTATACTTTGGATCTCTCGAGAATGCTGAGTTTGGAGAGCTTTGCATCGCACTCGAGATGTACTTGGTCATCAGATGTACCTGATCTGGCGACGAGCAGGGACTAATAGGGCCTCCGAATGAAGGCATCCGACTGAAAAAGACAATTCAGCTTCGTAGTCCGTATGTGGTGAATTCCGCTGGTACGGATGTGGACCGGTACAGTCCGGTGCAGCTTTAGTCTCGTAGTGGTACCCAATTAGCCAGCTAAATTGAAAGACCCAGTATTTTCAACGTAGTTCACCGGATCCACTCAGCTCTCGGCGTTCTTCATCAGCAAGAAACAATTCCAACCGATGCTCACGACATTCACCGCCATAAGTCTATAGGCGACTGGCACGAAAGCAAAGTTGACTGCCTGAAAAATTGGCCAAACCGACCAGTTTGAGACCAAAGTAGGCCACCAGTTTCTCGACAACTTCTGCTGAGTGTCCTCCACACTTCTACCTTCCATCAACCCCATGGCCAGATAATAGAGCGGAATTCCTATGAATGGCGCAAACACGCCCTGATCCACAACAACACGAGCAGCGGTCTGAGTGACATTGGTTTTGCCAATAACAGTTCTGGCAAGAAACTTATACCATTGGTCGCCCAAGGGTGCAAACACCACACCACCGTAGATGACTGCTCTAGCGGTTCTAGAGAAGTCGTAGTCCTTCGACCCCCCGACTTTTTGCGCCAACACATCTCCAGCACCAAATAGAAAGGCGGTGGTCACGGCATTGGTCGCATATGGCCTTCTGACCAACATACGGTTGTAAAGTTGGAAGAGCATGGTGATGAGGATGGATCTGGTCTGCACCGCGCAGGAATGGCTGCAACATCGAAGTGATACCCCTATGAATTGTGGTACGATAGCCAATTTTGAAGGATACTCTACTTGATCTGTCTCTCTAAATCACTGATCTATAATTTGAATATATCTGTAGGTTCTGTCAAGCGAGTCTATGATGTCTATAAGCTTGAGAACACATGCTCTGGTCGTATCAAACGGCACACCAAAGTCTTCAAACGCCTAGGCGTACACCATGGTCTGCTCCTCATCGGCAGATTCAATGTCAACCAATTCCTCCACCAACAGGCCGCTGCCCTTACCGTGACCCTTGGTGTTATGCACGAAACTCAAGAAGCAGTTCCAGCCAATCGACCATACGTTGGCTAGCACGATTCTGAGATGCACTGGCACGAAAAATAAGTTGACAAGTTGCAAAGGCGTCCACACTGTCCAACTTGCTCGAAGCACGTTCCACCAGTTGTTTCGAAGCTTATCCGTAGCCACCTTGAAAGGATCCTCATGCAACGCTAACGCCGACATGGCTGTGTTATACAAGGGAATCCACACGAGTCCAGGCATGAGCAAGGCATCTAGGGCAAGTCTGAACAAGTTGTCATGCACATCTATGTGAGTAGGGGTCAGACGAGCTCTTCTGGCTGCCAGCATAAACGGACTTTTCAAGTAGGGAAGCGTCATACGGTGCCACTTGACACTGAGTGGGGCGAAAATAAGCAGGCCATAGATACTGGCACGAATGGTTCGCTGGTAGTGGAACTCGGTTCCCTTGTTGACATCGTCGTCTATGTGGTGCGGGAACAAGGCCTGGGCCAAACAGTCTCCCAAGCCGAAAAACAACCCGGTAGAGACCATGTTGGTCTTATAGGGGTGGGTCTTTAGGAGGTTGTTGTAGGCACGGAAGAAGGGCATGCAGTGGACTGGTGAAAGACGATGAATCAGAGGTGAAAAATTCTGCATTTCAAGGTTGCAGCTAGAGACAGGAGAAACAAGCTTCCGAAAACTTGCATTGTAAAAGCAGTGGATTGGGGGTAGAAGAGGTGGTGATAGAAGGTTTTTTACTCGATTTTCCACTAAGAGCATAATTCGTCTCCTGATGGCGAGATCTTGATCCGCAGAGAAGGCAGAGGAGCGGCTCGAGGTGCATGGAAGAAGCTTCTGTGACAGCGCTATGGTCGGACGACAAAGTGGCACAAAAGCAAAATCTGATAAAGTTTGGGATTTAGGGATGGAAGGCTGGCGGGTGGATATCAGAAATTTTCTTAGGGTGTGATTTTGGTGATTATGTGAAATTCTCGCTCGTCGAAGTACTTAGACAGACGTAGACCAGCGGTTTGATACCCCAACCTCAGTTGAACTTCTCCACAATAGAAGCAGACCGTGCATTGGGATGACCGTACGTGATCGACATTACAAACTTTCAAACCTTATGAAGATTGTGACGTCAGGTCTCGGGGCACACCGGCCCATACCGGACCAATCTGTAGATGGAGGAAAGCAGAAACATACGGCATAAAGAAAGAGTAGTCGAGTAGTGACGTTGATCATAACCACGGAGAGCAGTCTTCGATGTTCCGTGGGTCAACTTAGAATTTTTGAAATGGTCGTCCCAAACGGGACAAACTGTGGATGCAAAAGGGTGGCACCTTTTCGCCAAAAATAAACTCCTCGTATTCTCAACTTGACAGGCTCAGTGTTTACCTCCACACCCCGTGGTCATGTGTTCACAGGTGGCTCGGCTGTTGTCGATGCAGCACATTTAGAATGAGGGCTAGTTTCGACCTAACCCGTCAAACGGCATTTGAAAGGCCGTAGGAGCCCAAGCCATGATTGCTCTATTATCCTAATTCGTTACTAGTCGAGGCGAGAATGCCGTTGTTTTGCAGCCACACTCGCCACACTACAATAGAGACGTTGGCGAAAATGAAGCAAAAGGTCAGGCGAGGCGAGGCGAGGCGGAGAACAATGGAGGGGTCAGGCTCGTGGAAAGTTCCCAGCTTTTCATAATCTCACTACACCATCAACAAAAAACAACCCACTCGGTTGCAACCAAGCAAAGAAACATTTTTTTCTAAGACAGCGCGGCTTGCTGCAGCATTCTTGCGCAGCGAAGAAAAAACGGCAGATAAGAGCAAGCAAAACCGAGGTAAACATAGGTACCAACGGCGTGGAAGGAGGTTTTTTTCCGAGACAAAGCGTGCCAATCACAAGCCCAGAAAACAGCCGTCCTCAGCCTTGCCCTGGCGGTAACTTGTTTGCTTGACACCAGAAACATTCCATGACAGGCGACTTTCCTAATTGGGCGAAAACATTGCCAGATACGTCTGCGGCGGCCAAACAGAGTTGAGAGCACCTACCCACGGTGGACGATGGATGGACGCTAGACGAACCGGTTGACGCTGTGGGTTTGTCAAAGACCCAATTTTATTGTTTCTAGAAACCCCGTTGTCATTTGTGGTTGGCAACAAAGGTGGCTGGCTGTCCTGCAGAATGGAGAACAAGGCCGTCCGGGCGGCTTCAGGCAGGAGTTCTGGGGTGCAACCGAAGGTTGCTGGGGAAAAAAAAAATAGCGTGGGAGAATAGAGATGAAGCCAATTAATAATGGTGAATTTACGAACGAAATAAATTTTATTTTCTTTGTAAAACCGTCTCGTAGTAATAATTAAAAGCCCTGCCCGTGGCATAATATTGCAGATCTAGTGGGCGCTGCCGTTTGTGCTATCTTTTTGGCCCGCCTGGTCATATCACAATTTCGGACCATCACATTTTTTTCCCTCCCTCACTGGTTTTTCTCACCACCCCAACTACTTCTTCTTCCTCCAATGCACAGAACCTACTCCTTGAGATCCCTGAGAGCCCCTACCGCTGCTCAATTGCAGGCTCCTCCTCCACCTCCTTCTTCCACCAAGTCCAAGTTCTTTGGCAAGGGCTCGCTTTCCTCTTCTTTCAGAAAGCAAACTGCCGGTGCCTGGGGCCCCGAGTTGCTGAGAAAGTTGGCCCAGTTGGTCAAGATGGAGAAGAACTTGATGCGTTCTATTGAAATCACCTCCAACGAGAGAAAGGAGACCGCTAAGCAGTTGTCCTTGTGGGGTGAGGCCAACGACGACGACATTTCCGACATCACTGACAAGTTGGGTGTTTTGATTTACGAGATTGGTGAGTTGGAGGACCAGTTCATCGACAGATACGACCAGTACAGAATCACCTTGAAGTCCATCAGAGACATTGAGGGTTCCGTGCAGCCTTCTAGAGACAGAAAGCAGAAGATCACCGACAACATTGCTTACTTGAAGTACAAGGACCCTCAATCTCCAAAGATTAACGTCTTGGAGCAGGAGTTGGTCAGAGCCGAGGCTGAGTCTCTTGTTGCTGAGGCCCAGTTGTCTAACATCACCAGAGAGAAGTTGAAGACTGCCTTCAACTACCAGTTTGACTCCACCAGAGAGCACGCTGAGAAGATCGCCTTGATTGCCGGCTACGGTAAGGCCCTCTTGGAGTTGTTGGACGAGTCCCCAGTCACCCCAGGTGAGACCAGACCTGCCTACGACGGCTACGAGGCCTCCAAGCAGATCATTGTCGACGCCGAGAACGCCTTGGCTGCCTGGACTTTCGACACCGCCGTTGTCAAGCCAACCTTGTCTTTCGCTGCCCACGAGGACTACGATGCCGATGAATTGGCTGAGGAGACCGAGAACTTGAAGGTCACCGAAAACGAGTGGGAGGAGGAGCAGAAGGCTCACGCTTAAGCGTAACCTCATTGCCGCTACCTTGCCTTACTCAGACACCGGACCGGGCGCCCGCTCATGAGTCGGCCCGCCTGTATTAATACTATGTTGTGTATCATTGTTCAATTAATGTAGAATTGCCTCCTTGCTTGTAAGTACCCCTGGCGTGATGAGTTGCTGCAAAAATAGCCGCCCGGCTGAGCAAACTCGGGGTTGAAATTGACAGCAAGCAGAGGCACCCAAGGTATGGCGGGTCTCATGTTAGGGAGACCAAGCGTAAACAAAGACACCCGAGGCACCACCGAGGCGGCCAAGGCAGAATTTGGCGACCAGGAGGGGTGGGTGTGGTAGACGAGAGGAGCTTATATCGAGTGGAAAATGTAAGTTGAAAGAATTGTTGACTTTTTTCAGTAGAATGAATGGACAAACAATACCAAAATATAAGAAACCTTTTGTCCTGTAGAGTCTAATCAGGACAATCTCAGAGCGTGTAGCAGACCCGCATTTTGCAACCATTCCACCAGCCACTGCCATGCCACAACCATCGGGTGGGCAACTCCACAAGAAAAAAACCCATAGATTTAAAATGAAATGTAGAAAAAATAGATATCAAGTTTTTTTTGAAAAAAAGACATCCCCCCTCCCCTTAATATTTTATCTCCATTCCGTAACTTGAAACTATCGTTGCTCACTCGTATCTCACTGGCCTCCGGTGTTTGCGTTTTGCGTCCGTCGCGCTTACCAAAACATTCGCTGCGCCAAAAAAACTTAAATTCATCTAATAACCTCTGCTCTTCCAGATCGAAGTCAAATATCCCATCCTTTTTATCTTCATCATTTCCTGACCTGTCTCCTGGGTGCACCCTGCCGATCCGCCCCATTCACGCTACGTTCCTGCGGAACCCGCACCGTTTCCAAATCATAACAATCGTCAAACAAAACACATACAACAACACTCTTTCTCCACCATGTCCTCGCCTTCACGCCTGGTCATTGATCCGTTGATATACTCGTATCCAGACAGTAGCGGCTCGCTGGAGAAAAAGAAGAACAACGACTCCCTACCCCCAGCGTCGAAGCTTCTTCTGAATGCTCAGTCCACAGCTCCTCCCACCACTGGCTGGACTCCTTTGGTGCTGAAGACACTTTCTGGAGAGATGATTTCCCACAATTCCACGCCCAACACAAAGGTTCTTCCGGGTTTCTACCGCCAGGCTACCGCCAGCGGCTCGGCTCCGTCCAACGACATGGATTTTCCCGTGTTGAACTTAACGCCTTTCCTCACACACAACTTGAACTTCCTCAACAACCAGAACTCGGCCGGCAACCCTTCCAGCAACGTCAACTTCACGCCCTTCTACGACAAGAGTATGCACCTCACCGACTTCTTCATTGATTCTCCTTTGAGACCTTCTCCGCTGAAGGCCGTGGAGACCATCACTCCATCCCGGTTTGCCATGAGCGCTGAGCGCAAATCCTTATCGTCCAGATTGGATGCTGCTACATCGACTAAACGTTCCATTGGCCAGATCGATACTCCTGCGAGACACCCTTTCAAGAAGTACGACTCTCAGGTCGACAACGACTCTGAGACTGACAATGAGGACGAGAACAAGGATGACAAGCCTTACGAGGACAACTTCGTCACACCTTCAAAGAAGAATGTCTTGAAGGAGACAAGCGGGAACTTGTTGAATAAGACACCTTTGAACCAGACACCTCTTGCCTCGAAGAAGAACAAGAACGCCTACCATACTCCAGCGAAGACAACTCAAATGTCTTCTCCATCTACAGTAATCATGTCGAGTGTGAACAAGCTGCCCGAAGAGGATGGCTCAAAGGCGCGTATTGTGCCTCCTAGCCCGACACCAAACAAAGAGCGTGTTGAGAGCACTACGGCCGTGAATTCAGAGCCAGTTATGGGAATCTTCTCAGAGAGAAAACAAAAGCCAAAGGCTGAAGCATCTAAACCCGCTGCGAAGAAGAACACTAAGAAGAACCAGGCAGGCACCAGCAAGTTCCAAATTGTCTTCACTGACGTCCACACATTGATGAACAGCAAAAAGAAGAAGGAGCCAGAAACGCGGTCGAAGAAGCAACAGCAGGAAAGAAATCAGCCCAAAAGAACCGGATCTCAAAGGCTGAGCCAAAGAACCCAGAGAACAACTCGCCAAGACGCTCATCAGCATCAGTTCAAACAGGGACTGCCGCCCATTCAACAGCACCAGCATCTACAACAGCAGCCTCCCCCGACTTATGCGTTTCAGCACACGTCATCGTCGCTCTCAGCGTCGCAGGACTACAACTCAACAATGAACTCGTCAAGGGAATTTAGCATGCTAGGAGTTAACTCCTCACAAAACACAACAGGCGCAAACCTCAACTTCTCATCTACGGAGCACACGTCTTTTGAGCTCAACAACGCAGGCATGGCATCAACGCCGAACCGGAAGTATCTTTTAGATAATTCTTTCGATAAGGCATCACCTCAGGCCATCAACCAGATGACATCCTCCTTCCATCAAGTGCAGGTCAATCACCAGGATGGAATGCCTCCTCCAAAACACTTGACCCTTCAACATGCTGCTCAACAAGCTCTCAGACACCCAGATCAGTCTCACAATCCGCAGATGGGGATGAACATGGTGATGAGCACCCCACAACACTCCAGCATAAACAACAATGCCTTCATGACCGAGGAATCTCCAAGCAACAGAGAGCCCATGGCGCTTCTATATCAGCATCTTCACCAGTATGAACAAGTCATGCAACCTGGTGAAGGTGAATCGGGACACAAGTAAAGCCCGAAGTTGAAAGACTATCGAAAATGACACGGCTAGACGGACAATGAGACAATAAGAAAATTAAAACGATAAAGGACAGTGATGGTTAAATACTGGTTTAATTTATGCACATATGATTCAGGATACTAAATATTAGGTGGTAGAAGTAAGGCACCGATAACACCAGGTCTTTCGGTGGCCAATAGGTCAAATATCTTTGCAGCGTTCTTGGAGTCTCCAAGCTCCAACTGAATGCCAAGGTTACTCATGAATCGTTTGTTCTGCTCAGAAAGCACTCTGGATCTCTTCCCGAGACCGAAAACCACAATCTCTGGCTTTGGATGAACTTTTTCGAATATCAGTAGAAGTGTCAGCTCATCAAAATGCACAATGAAACCGTTAGTGATGCTGTAGCCCCCCTCAGAGAGGTTGATTTCAAAGCTCTCGGTATCTAGAAGAAGAGTACCAATTTCACGGCCCTGCTTGTCTGGCGAAGTGATCAACACACTGTTTGCAAGGTGATAGCCATCTTTTTTGACAGATTCAATGTAGTTGATCGGCTTTTGGGAGAACATGAGGATATCGTTCTTCTTGAAGAGATCAACCGGATTAGCGGTAGTCTCTGATTTGCCCGAAGGAGCAAGCATATCCTGAGGAGACTTTCCTCCCCCGAATAAATTTTGTGAAAGACGAGTAGTACTAAACCGGCGCAAGGGGATGCGGCACTGACGGATCATTGTCGGTAATGATTAGAGGTTGCAACGGTGATGGACTATGAGCAGCTGGGGCAAACTGTGTGCACAACCAGGAGACGGACCAACGCCATAAAAGTTGCAAAAGAGCCCCAGAAAATCAAAAATCTTTTCCATTTGCCTCAATACGCAGTCTTTCATGTTCAAGCTTTGTGCGGATTGAGTTTTTGCACTTATCCCATAAGTCTTGAACAATCTCTCTGCCATAGATGTCACGAGGGGAGCTGTAGGATGTGGCCTTCATGGACTTCTTTTGAGGCGAAGTAACAGGATTGTAGAGTTCATTTGATCTGAAGTTGGATATCGATGGACGGGCTTTGAGTGTACGCTCTCCTTTGAGGTTGGCCGTGGACTTCTTTGGTGACAAAGAAGGAGCCGCCTTTTTGGGAGATGTCTGAGGCAGAGGGATAGGCGTCAGACTGGTGTGAATTGAAGGTGGCGTCGAAGAAGCACTTTTTTTAACGTACTCATCGTAAATTCGCAACAATTGCACCAAAAACGCCAATTCCTTCAAGTACTCGAATACAATGGCATGTTTGAACGACTCGCTTAAGCGACAAACAGAATCATCTGTGAGCTCCATAGTTGATACTTTCTGTATAGAGCTCTTGGCCGCAGAGAATCGGGCAGCAAATGGAACATATGAGTGGTGTTCTGTGTAGATCAACGAATTGGCCAATGTTGTTGACAATTCACGAATGCTGACTTGATGTCCTGAAGGAAGTAGTGAGAAAGCATAGTTCTGTACCCTCCTTCCCTTAGTATCAACAAAAATGGGAAACCCGTTTTCAAAATCACTCCTTTCTGACAGAATCCCCTTTACAGGAGACAGAGGCCTTGAGAAATTGGCACTCGGTAGTTCTGAGAGTATGCAAAAAGCTCGAAATTTGTTCTTGGGGAAGTCAATGAGCACTCTTTGAGGGTCAGAAACAAGAATCAGGGTGAATTTTTCCAAATTGTACAAGCTGTCGAGTTTGGAAGAAAGTGACGGGTCATCTTGTGTAACGCTATCCGTGTATTTCAACGACCCGTCCGAGCTAGGGAATGCGGCTAGCTTGTTGATTCGTAGCCTCTTGAACAAATATAGAAGCGATCGTATTCTCAAATCTGTCGAGTCAGGCTGAGGAGTCAATTCAAAAGTCGGGATTTTGGCTCCCTGTGTGGAACCCGTAAAACTAAAGAGACCCATGGAGGTGGTTCAGAGTTTATGTTTTACTGCATGAGAACACAAGCGAGCAGGCATAAATGGTCCGGTACCTTTTTGAGAGGCTTTCTGAGAGAGAAAATTGACTTTGAATTGGTCAAAATCTGGCTAGATCATATTAAGTTTCATTTATGGCAATAATTGGTTGGAAATCCTCTCCAAAGAGAAATAATAATAATAAATAAAAAAAAAAAATGCATGCCGATAAGTGCAATATTTGTGTGGGGCTACAGTTCAGATCGGCTGCAAACATCGCATACATAAGCACTATGGACCACACTGGGCAGCCATGGTGTAGACTTGAGTTTCTATAAGGTGAAGTGATGTATAGAATATTTATACTGCTGTTCCACTTATCATATTTTCCAAAACTAGTCAGAAACCGATGACTTTTTGCAGTCTAGGGTTTCCAGAACTAACAATGTAAAGATTCTCCAGACAGCAAGCCTTGATTCGTTAATACCCGGCAATTCTGCCATGAATCTATTAAAGATAGTCCATCTGAATGCATGTTGTAAGAGGGTACCACAGTGGTGCCATACACCATTCAATCATACTACTATCGCTACCACCAAGAATGACTCCTACTTGACGTCAACGCCTTGTCCCAATTTGAAGAAATATGAAAATTCAGAAATTCAAGAGGTTTTCATGATTTTCGATCTTGGCGAGAGTCTGATCTCACAGCGCACTATCCGATAGTCGCACACGTAACGTATAGTATCTGTTCTCACTATCAACCATGGCTACACAATCTGGTATTACAGCTTCAGAAGAGCTACTTGACAGCTTCAAGGCGTTGAAAAGCGGTGCTCTTGTGATCACCTTGAATGAGGATTCAACGCAATTGATCCCAGACTCAGGCTACACCCTGCCTTCTTCAACAGATCTCTCACTGGTGTTCGATAGCTTGAGTGAATACTTTGAAGCACAATATCCCACTCCAGGTTATGCTATCATCCAAAAGGAGGGTGGTGACAACATCTTTGTCAGCTTTATTCCTGACTCTGCGCCTATTAGACAGAAGATGTTGTTTGCTTCTACCAAGAACACTGTTCTTCAACAGTTAGGATCCAGTAACTTTGGAACCAAAAACATCTTGGCACTCACAGACGTTGACGAGTTATCTTCATCACATTATGAACACTTGATCAATGGCGACAATGAAGCGCTCTTGACGTCAGATGAAAAGATCCTAGCACAGATCAACTCTGTTCAAAACCTCAATTTGGGCCAGTCTGGCGACCTGCCATTCAAGAGAGAATTGCCATCGATGCACTCAACTCAAAAGCTGACCACCTCTGGCTCAAACTTGCTCTTCAAGGTCGACTCCGATCTTGAAAAGGAGATTTCTGGCCTGTTGGCGGGAAAATTGGTCGTTATCAAGATTCAAAAAGAGGCCGAGACGCTTGAATTGGTCAAATCAGTGTCTGATGTTACTTCAAAGACTCTTATAAGCAGTTTAGAACTGGCAGTAGGCAGTGCTGAAGCTTCTCCTGTCTACGCCTTGTTTGGCTACAACGACGAGAAGGTTGCCTTTATCTACCTGTGTCCTTCGGGATCAAAGGTCAAAGATAGAATGTTGTATGCTGCCAACAAACAGGGTTTCCTTACACACCTCAAAGCTGATCATCTCAAAGATTCTCAGCTTGATGTTGTGCTAGAGGTGGGAGATTTAGACGAAATTGACATCTCCAGGTTGGAGCCTGAGAATTCCCAAAGCTCGCAACAGAGCAGCAATAACTTGAGGTTCTCCAAACCCAAAGGACCAAGAAGAAGATAGACTACATGAATATAACTATTGTCGTTTCTCATCAATTAATTACCCATATCTAATACCTGCTAGTTCTCGCTGGACACAGCAATCGACCAAATCTCTTAGCTTTGAGCTAGGATTATCAAAATAATCTTCATAAATTTGCGGTCCTTCTTCCTCTCCCAGCGAAAGTATTGCCGAGTAAATTTTGCGGGAAATGCTTTTGTTGATTCGGATGTACTCATCCTCTGTAGTGATGGTTCCAGTCTTCGTCGGATCATTTGGAGTATACAATGGACGAAGATTATCACGAACATGCTTCTGAATTATGCGTTTTTGCTCGAGAGTAAGCTCTCTCCCGGGGCGCTCGAAAGCTGGTCTTCGAAGTTCAGATTCACTGTCACTCGTCACCGGGCTGATCAACGGAGACATCCTAGTCATCGTTGGGGCAACAGAGGGTAACTGGACAGCGGGTCTCTCGTCAGTGATTGAACTTCTCGGCCTCAGCCTTATCTGGCTCATAAGCGAGCTAATTCTAGAGGAACCTGCCTCTGATGGGGATTGAGAGGCATCTGGAGGAGATTGGGCAGACACTGGTTCCGCAGCGGCTTCTCCTCGCCTTCTCCGTTTCCTTCTAGGTTTATCCTCGGCAGGAGTGGCAGGAGTGGTGCCCAGACCGCCTGTTCGTGCTTGCTCAAACATGTCCCACAGGTGAGCTTCCTCCGGAGTGAGATTCCTCAAGGCTCTTTCCTCTCTCCGTAGTAGCACTCCACCATTGAGTACATGAGATCTAGAGCGTCGCAGAGAGGGCCCCGTTCCAAGCGAGTCAAGGCTGTCTTCAAACACGGCATGGGCTAGGTCGCTATCGGTTGTGATAAGGGTGTTAGATCTTGGAATGGCTCGAGCTGGCCTCCTTGTCCGAGACCGGCTCGGGCCTGAAGTATAAAGCTCTTGATAACAGTCACAATTTGGACAAAACCATTCAGTCGAGCCTGGCTCATGCGATGCTGCACCAAGGCAGGAGACATGGAAGGATGAATTACAAGCCACACAGCTGGCCATGGCACGCTGACGAAGAGCATAGCTTGCACTTGAACAAATTTGGCACACACCAGCAGGCTGAATGTCTCGATCCTGCTCGACAGGTTCTCTCTGGGGTACCACGTTGGGTGGAATTACGAACTCAGTGGGGATATTGTTGATGGCATCGTTGGGCATAAGGCGATCCTGGACATTGAAGGATCTTAAAAGCGCTTCAGGGTTGCTTTTGACGGCGATATTCACTTTGTGAAACGGCTTTCGGCACGTAGGACACGAGTTCGATTGGGTGCTCCACTGTAAAAGACACTGCTCATGATAGTGGTGACAGCAGGGTTGCACGATACCTATTATGTCTGGGGGTTTTATTCCCTCAAGACATATGGGGCATTCGAGCGTTTCCATAGCTGAAGTGTTGGTTTGTGGTTGATATGTAGAAAATGGTGTAGTGGCGGTCTCGATGGGTGCAGTGAGCCTCTCGCAGTGCATGAGGGCAAGATGAAAGGGTCCTACCAGAGAGTACCTGAAACTTTTCAGGTGAATAGAGATGGGAATTTTTGAAAGTTGAAAGAAGAGTGATACGATATTTGATTTTAATTATAAGTAAAAATTGGATTGTTCTGTGCTTGCCTACAACCAGAGTTGCACAAAGGTAGATGCGATAGGGCGAGGAGAGTGGGAGCCATGAATGATTTGATCTTCTTTTAGAGTCGATTTGTCAGACTATTAGCATTGGCTCTTTTTATGTGCTGTGAAATGTGTGTAGACTCTACGTCATCAGGGACACACCAGTTTTGCAACCATTTCCATGAATCAGAAACTGGATGATAGGACGTCAGCTTGTACAATCAGTTCAGCCCATCAAAATACTACTTCATTTTAAGGTCAACAATTTCTAACCACTCAACAAACCCAATCCCCTAGATCGAAGGCTTTGATTATCAGTATTAGATCCAAGTCCGGGAACCAAACCCACTTCCGGCGATGTATCTCAATATCAGCAGAAATTTGCTTCTATCTCAAAACAACCCTAATCTTTATTTCGTATTTCTCGACCATTTCTTGTGTTTTGCCAACATGATCCGTTGCATCTGCTTGATACCCCAGATGGCATCGCGCACATCTAATCTAACTTCAACAAGTTTACTTCCATAAGTGCACCATGTCTCGCCATCAGTTTGATCTTGTTCAGTGCATGAAGCAACCTGGAACACACATAGGCCTTCTATGTCTACTGTGTGATGGCAGATGTCCAATATGTGACTCGATGGTCAAACCAAAGGCAAAGGTTAGAGTCTGCGATAGCTGCCATTCAGGCAACGCAGGTGAAAGATGTATCCTTTGTGGGCACCACTTGGGAGAGAATGCCGAGTCTGGAACGCCGGCTTACTACTGCTACGAGTGTGTCGTTCAGGAGAAGCATAGGGAAGGTTGCCCTAGAATCACCAATGTAGGCAGTTCCAAGGCAGATATGGTATTCAACAAGCGTCCCAACCGGGGGCTCATCACTTGAAATGCTAATAAATATACAGAGAGAACAGCGCTCATTGTGTGCGCCGTTGGATACCCATGTCGATCATGGAGTTAATACCGTCGTGCCATTTCTCCTCGAGATGCTCGTTTATCGGCTGGAAATCGATTTGACGCTTCTTTCGAATCTCATTGATATCTTCAACTTGCCGGCGTTTTCGTTCCAACTCGTTGCGATACAGCAGCTCCGTTTTCAGAAGCAGTTCGAGGTGGGCTTCTCGTATGCTACCCATGCTACCGTCGTTTTGAAGGGCAAGGCGGGAGTTGCGCTCCCGTAGCATCGAATAAGCCAAGGACGTGTACATGCGGTCCTGGTTGGTGTGGTCTGGGTTATCGCTATCGGCATCATTGTCATCATCGTCATGGAAATCTGTGTACCTCGACATATCGATACCCTGGATGACAGGTGGCTCAGCATTATCATATTCTGGATTGTTCTGGTTAGCCTGTTCACCCTGTTGGGGCCGGCGAAATCTGTCCATGCTTGAAGAAAGCGGGAGTACGGGGCCTGCTGCTGGATGTACCTCTGTCGTGTCGAGTTGGGCTACTTCATTCTGGACAAGCTCTTCGACTCTTCTTCTTTCCTGTGGTGTAATGTCATAGTCGATGTCTGGGTGTTAGTATATAGTCATAGAAGTGATGAGTGAGCAATACGTACATGGTAAGCTGTCAAGGTTGTCAAAGTGTGTGAAGCTGGTGGGAAGCATAGCAGTGGCTTGGTCAACAAGCTTGGGGTTGTATTGATGGAGGGATTCGTATTTGGGACTCTCTGGAAGTGAATGTAGACTTGGTCAATCGCTATTAATGTCCTGATGGATAAAAAAGATTAGTTGGAGAATCGATCGATATTTGTGTGGGCGCGGCGTATAAGATGAGGGGCTGCCACACAGATACGGGCTCTTGTTCGGTCATAAGGGGTCGGCTCCGTCGGAATATTTAGAAATATATAAAAGGTTTTACGACTACTTTGAAAGAAAAATAGAAATAATTTTGTCTACCGACTACTCATGGGTGTAATGAGGCGAAGCTGTGTTGACGTCTGAGTCAGACATCTCGCTGTGGATGAGATCGCAGGGGGCACTCACACAAAAAAGTAGGGCTGGTGAATTTTTATTTGTACTTTATATTCCAACTCATCCTGAAAGTATGTGAATGCAGTTTACATAACGATCAATGAGTTGCTCAAGTGGCGGAGTGCCCTTGTTGACGGGATTAAGCAAAAGATGAGCCTACAGAGGCCGGTTTTGTGATCCCTTTTCACGCAATTCAGATTCTCCCGCTAACAACACATAGTGGATGTCTTTTACATGTGTCTTCTATAGATCGCCCACGTTACATCCCCGTCAAGGTTTCTTCGCTCCGTCTTGACATTGGAAGACCATCTCTTCACTCAATACTCCCATAAGGTATGCTCTACACTGGATTTCGCCAATTATAATATTTTATACATGAAGCTTGAAGCTTATTTCTCCAAAACCTCAGCGTCGTACTTCTGCTTGAACCAAGCGATGGACTCCTCCTGGTTGGTCTTGTGGGAGTTACCAATTGGAGCTCTGCATCTCTTTCTTCTGGCAACTCTGGCACCGTGTCTACCCATGACAACGTAGAAGTCCATACCGTAAATACCGATACCTGGGTCGTACTTGATACCCAAGTCAATGTGCTCGTCAATACCGAAACCGAAGTTACCAGTGGCAGAGAAGTTTCTCTTCTTCAACTGGAACTCCTTGACTCTCAAACCTCTCTCCAAGATCTCCTCAGCCTTAGGACCTCTGACGGTAACGTGGACAGAGATCTTCTCGTTTCTTCTGATACCGAAGGTTCTGACGGTGTATCTGGCCTTAGACTGGACTGGAGTCTGACCGGACAACTGCTCCAAGACCTTGGAGGCTCTGGTCAATCTGTCACCGGACTCACCGACACAGATGTTCAAGACCAACTTCTCGATACGCAACTCACGCATAGGGTTCTGAGCAGACTGACTGTTAGTATTCATTGATCAAGGGCTTGCGTTTCGACAATGAAGGAAGCGATTTGACTTTGCAAATGGGTGGAAATGTTTTATGTGGGTCTGGTCTGCAATCTCTCTATTCCTTCACTGTTGATCTGACGTTATCGACGACGTTTGACATACCATTTTGGCTGTAGTTTGTAGTTCTGGATAAGAGCTTTTTTTTTCCCCTACTAAAATTTTCAGTGTAGGCAGACCGAAGGTGCGAATTGAGACGTGCACGTAAGTTGATGTGATCACGTGTATTTGTACGGCTTAGGGTGCGAGCCCTAAGGCATAGTAACTCTTAAATTGCAAATCAGACTGTCACAATTTGATTCATGAATTCTAGGTTTATCTGCTGCATGATGCTGTATTATTCGTTGTATACTTCGTGTCTTGCCCGCCTTATGGCGTCTACTCATATCGCCTGCTTCCTCATCCGTCAACATTGTTGAAGGACTTCTCCTTCTCCTTAATGTCGTAAAAGATATCACCCACATTGTGGTTGCCGTGGTACACCCATCCAGCCTCGGTGACGTGGTATAGGTTGATCGAACCACCGGAGTAGGCGTCTCTGTGTGTGGCAGCCAAAATACTTCTCTTACCCAAGTACAAAGCATCCTCGACACTCAACTCCCACTTGTATTCAGAATCCAAGACACCGTAAGCGAATGTCTGACCGGATCCGACACAGAAGAGGTCACCCTTCAATCTTGTGCCATCAGAGTCAACGTAGTAGATAGTTGGACCCTCCTTCTTCGTGTAACCACAGACCATGGTACCCATCGACAAGCCCATGCCCTTATATTGGTACACCAAGTTTCCTAAGATCTTAGAAGCAGCAGCCACTGATATACGCTCCTTCTCACGCAACTCATGTAGTCTACACTGCGTACCCAACCAAGTCTCCCAATACTGACAGTCGGCGGCACCACCGGCCATTGTACCCAACAAGAAGGGGTTGATTCTGATAACCTTGTTCACTGTCTGCGAGGCGACCCAGTCACCAGCAGTAGCTCTGGAATCGACTGCGACAACAATACCACCTTGGAATCTAAAGGCCAAGGTTGTCGTACCGTGTGCAATCTTGATCTTACAGTCAGGGTTGGAAGCGTCATCTGTGTGTGCTCTCAAGAATTCCGTAGGCTTGGAAATTGGAGGCAATTGCATTTGTGGAGCCAAGCCGAATTGTTCTTGTTGAGCCAACCCATCAGTAGCACCATGGAATTCATTGCGAAGCGCATTGGCGTTTGAATTCGTGAACTGCTTTGCGATTGAGTTCATGCTGATTTCGAGGTTTTTTTTAGGTTGATGTGTTGTGCTTTCGAAATGAGCTAGATCTGGGGTTTGGTGTAGTTGTTGCCACTCTCTTGAAGTGAGGTCAGATGCATGTGCAGGTCGCACCTAGTAGAAACACCTTGATAAGCCCTACTTGAGGAGGTTCTAGTCAAACTACGAATTTCTGAATCTTTCTTATAATTATTGTACAGATAATGGTCTTTTATCTCCTTCTATGATACTCTTTTGTTTTTGCTGTCTGCCTTTTCTTGTGTGACAATGGCTGCAAATTACTCAAGCTTGATCGACTTCAGCGGATCCTCCCCAGTCTCCTCGGCAGGTCTTTTTTCTTGTCTGGGTTTGTTGGACAAAAACAGAGGGCCCTTCAGCAACGCTCCAGGCTTGCTAGGGTTCTGTGGTCTTGCCATCCCGCTGAAGTGTGGACGACTCAATCCTCCTGAGTAACTCGGCTTGGGTGTGCCACCGGCTGGAGAATTAGGAGTTGCCGGTCTTGAAGCAGAGCTGGTGCTTTCTATAGATGCGGGAGGCTTTTGCACCAGACCAATGTTAGAAGCAGCAGGCGACGCTGTAGGCACAGGGGTAGACTCTTTGCTTGTGGGGTTGGACAGCTTACCTTCAACCTCTTTGATGGACTTGGTCAATGCAATGTCAAGAATCTTACTGACTTGCTGAGGTGCCTTTTCAACCAAGAAACTCAATGCATTATCGCCACAACCAGCTTTAGCACCAATGGTATTGACCTGTGCAATGGTAGTAGCCAATGCCTTGGTGATAATGTTCGTTGTAGTAGCAGTATTGTAGGAGAGTTTCCTGGCCTTGTACAAAGTGAAAAGCTCCTTCTGCAAATAGCCAAGAGACTTTTTCGTGTCTGCATTCATGGGCAACAGCTTCGAAACCAGGCCAGAATTCGTGTTTGCAGAAACTGCAGCTGCAGCTGCGGCAACGGGTTGAGGTGTGGGAGAGCTTCTTTCAGTCTTCACATCACTGGTGATGTTGGTCAGCGATGCACTGGCAGATCTATTAGCAGCAAGCTGATCTTTTATGCTGTTACTTTGTTCGGCTGAGTTCACAGTGGGTGAGAGACTCAGACGTGGCAAGTATGATGACTGATTCAAGGCGCCCGGCGAGTCTCGCTTGATCTCGCTGGCAAGTTCAGCAATGGACTTGGGCTTCTGTCCCGGTGCTCCATTTGGCATTGGTGGTGACAGATCACGGGACGTGGGATAGCGTGGCTGGCCAAAGGAAGACGCATATGGGGTCATGAATGGTCGACCCACAGCGCCATACTGAGGAGTCAGCTGTTTCAGACGAAGCTCTACTGCCTTCAAAGCAGCCTCCTTGGCCTTCGCCATCGCGACCTCTTGCTGTTTCTTTCTCACACGCTCTTTCTCCGCTAAGTAATCATCGTCGATCACCCACAAGTGTTCAGAATCAAGGCCCCCTTTAAACTCGCGTTTGAACATATTATGAGTCTTCAAATTATGGGTTATCATTGATTGCCAGCCATCAGGACAGTATTGGTAGTAAGGATAAAATTCCTTGATACCGTCACAAATCTCACTGAAAGTAAAACCTGATTTGCGAGAATTGGGTCCTCTCAACACACTGGTGATCATCGCCGTAATGCTAACCGTTGGCTTCGATTTATACTGGTCTGTAATATCTTTGTTGCCTTGTGACTTGGGCCTCTTGATGCTAGGCGCATCCTTCCGCCTGAGTGGGATCTTGGGCTTGTTCAGTGGTATATCCAATGTTTTGAAAACGCAGACAGGTGGTCTCTGAACGTTTCCCACACCTGTAGAAATCGCCTTGAACGGGATTGTAGCACTTTTCACTGGAACTGTACTGATCGTTTCCACTTCGACCTCTAGCTTCGGTGGTGGAGGCCTTGTTGGCATCATCATTGGGTGGTACATTGAATTCCTTGCCCCTGTAGGGTATCCAGCAGGAGATCCATATGGTGAATTGTAACCTTGTGGGTAAGCACCCGAATTTGGGTAGCCGTACATTGGACCCACGGGTTGTCTTCCATATGCCCTATTAGCAGGAGGTTGTATCTGAGCAGGTTTGCCCATGCGAGGACCAGCAGGACGGCCCATGAGCGGGGCGTTTTTATTATCTGCTGTATCAGTGGCGAGTGTTGTTCCGTGCCTGCCGTAAACACCCTGTTTGTTGTCAATGGCATCCTTTTCTGGATGCTGGCCGTCTATAAGTGGGGCCAAAGATGCAATCTCTTGGTCAAGGACGCTCATATCGACGTCAACGTCCTTTCGGTCCTTATCTTCGACACCAATTCCCTGCAGCAAATTGTGCTGTTTAACTAGCTCATCGAGCTCGTCTTCTTCTGCTTCAAGATTACCCAGCCTGAGGAGTTCATTGACCTCTTTATCAAACGGATCACTTTCGTCGTCATCCCCGATATCCTCAAGCTCTTTGAGGAGGGCAGTGATCTCGTCGTTAGTCGATGATGCAAGCGATTTGCGTCTAGCGTTAGAAAGCCTTCTGACTATGTCAGCTCTCAGGTTCCTGCGAGCCTTCTTCTGCTCGTCAGTGAGACTCTTTTTCCTATTAGGAGATGCAGGGTTCAGGTACAAGTTGGACCGTAGGTTGATGGCATCACTTGGGTTGAAGGGCTTGGCAGGTGTAGCATTTTTCTTTTCTGGAGGTTCGAGTGATGGTAGCACAAAGGTGAACGGAATATCACCAATTTGAATTTTCGTATTATCCACAAGCGGCACAGTTATGCCTGTTTCGACAAACTGGTCATCTACGAAAGCACCATTCCGGCCTAGAATGGAGATTTCAAATCTCTGCGTACCGAAGTTGTAAAATATCTTAGCATGCCGCCTGGAGATGGCCTTTTTTGAAGACAAGTGAACATCCACAGCGTGATGAGTAGGTGCAGCATCTTCGACAGCTTTTCTTCCTAGCACCACTTGAAGTGTCTGAACGAAAAAGGTGTAGTTTTCAAAATCGAGTCTTGCATAGGCTGAGATCTTCAGTGTCTCTAAATCCAGCTGTTCGATGGTCGAGCTGAGTGCCGCTTCAGATGTTACAAAATTCGGATTTTTTCGTAGTAGGTCATTGTTCACAAGCAGTTTTAGCTCTCCCAGAGGCGTAGGCAGATGAGACATCCGGGGAGTGGCATCGGAATCTAGCTGTTTCGTTGCAGGTAGCGTGGACCGCGGGCTTGTGGCAGAGTGGTCAGTGTGAGCTTGCCACGTGCTCATTTTGGAGTCTTGCAATCTTATATAATAGTCCTTGACAGTGAATGTTCTGTTTTAGGATTCAACAGTTAGCGATGGAACGTGGTATAAGGTGTATGTATGTTTTCTCGCTCATCTCAAGGTTCGTACAGGAGACTCATCTTGATCGATTTGGTTGAAGGTCTTCAATTCCGTGGTGTAGATTCAAAATGAGGAGCTTTTCATGTCAATCGAGATTACTTTAAAGTTGGGAACGACCTCATAATTGTAGTACAAAATTTTACTAGGTTTCACATTTTGAGTTCTTATTTTGTTCGAGATGAGGTGAGAGGGAAGAACAATGCGAACCTTGTACTAGGAAGATAAGGCGGAAGGCCCCACAAGATAAGAGAACAAAAAAACTTAAATATGTGCAAACAAGTAGGATTCTGAAATTGTAGTGTCAAATAAGCTATCCGATGGCTCCATTGTATTGAAGTTATATTTGGCTTGCGTGCGACAGATAAACGGCCCATAGGTGTGATGTAGGCAAACGAAGTCATGGAAGTTTCAATAAAGTTTCAAGAACGACCAGTTTTCGAGTCATTGAATGATAAGGTTGACCAGTGTTGGACCACTTGTTCATATTGCTAACCCAGAATCGCCTACAAGCGTGCAAGTAAATGGCTGCAAAACGATTGTTACAATCCATTAGGTTCAATTCAAAGAAATAAACCTCCTCTCTATAATTATGAAGACGTATTAAATCCAAGTAGCCCTTTTAAATATTCGAAAGTTCTATTCATATCAAGGTTTCTTATACAGCCTGTGGAGCTACCCTCCGATAGACCTGTACAGAAAAGTGATGAGTACCGAAGAGGTTCAAGATCTGATTTGATTGACCAATATCAAAATGGTACGTAAAGACGTTGAAACTTGTGATGTCATCCAGCAACTAACATTCAAGTCTATAAAAAAGAAAGCCGGACTTAGAGCCAAGTCGTCCAAGAGGACTTCGATTGCTAGTAAGATCAAGGAGTTCAAGGAGGAACAGGAACCTAAGAACGACTACGAAGAGAACCCTCTTCTCAAATTGCTGCAAACCACAAAGAAGGAGAAGCAGAAAAACAAGACCTCCGACTTTAACGAAAGGATCTTGGCGAAGACCACATTCAACCTTTCCGGTGGTATCTCCAAATCTGCAACTAGAAGAAGAAAGAGAAAGGCTAAGGAAAACCTCAAGCCCAAGATGGATGACTTGCTTCTGAGTCTTCCAACAGAAACGCTTAATCTTGTTGACGTTAAGCAAAGTTCTGGTTTCATTGCCGCAAAGAACAAGGATGCAAACAAGCCTAATCCTCAAAAGCAAGGCGGCCACGCAAAACTATTGCAGATGGAGAACAGACATTTCAATAAGGTGCTTACAGATAAGCAGTTCAAGGCTTCTCCATTCGATGCTTTGAAGCAGGCTATCCAGAACAATCAAAGGTGAGACACCGCCTGCTCACACGCATTAATGACAGATTGACCGAAATGCTGAGTTCGAATTTAATGCCGACAGCGGACACTCTCGACCACCAAGTCCATTTCTGACGTGAACCTTGAAAATGTTTTGCTTAGTTCACAACAGAATAAATTCTCTTCGAGACGAGCTCGCTGCACGAAGAAACCGAGAATGCATGGTTGGCCATTCCGTCAAGCTCTCGCCTAAGAACAGCCAGGAGAAATATCTTGCGTTGTCGATCGTTGCCCGTAGCAAAGCCCGTGGCTGCCGAACAATCTGCCATTAACTTTAAGCCGGTCATCAATCGTGGTCCGATTTGTTCTTGACCCCAAATCACCATGGCTACAGCTTACAACGTGGGCTTATCAGTGGCACCTCATGTGTCTTTGACCTCTCCTTCAACAGAGATTGCAATCTGGACCTTTACCTGCAAACATGAGACACCGTGGGCTTATTGTCGTCTAAGTTTATGTCAGAACCGCCCATGAATTTGTCGTTACACAATGGCAGTGGGTGGGCTCGCCAAAGTCAGCCCCAGACCAGCTCGCGCCCTGTGACCTGCCCTTGCCGCACATTCCCAGCGGCTGTTTGGCCCAATTGGGAAAGCGACGATTGAAATTGAATTACCTGGGCCTCGCAAAAACCTTAATGAAAGAAAATCCCCGATCAAATCCTAGTATCCCTCTTGTTGTCAAACTCTAACTTGTCATGCTTCGTCTGTATCCTGGTGCCTTTAGGCGGAAAAAGCGCGCCCCACCTCTGCGAGATGGTGTCTTTCTGCAGTGAAGTATAAACACACTGGCGTCTAGCAAAACAAAGTGCGATACAGAAAAAAAGCCGTCTCTGCGTAAACATAAACAACACAGCACTTGCTTGCAAATAGTGCCGCTCTCGAATTACCACTTTTTTCCACACCAGGGCCCCACGACACTGCCATGGGTGAAGCGCTCCTCCAATGGGACTGTGGCGAGCACAGCTTCAACTTGGACTCTGAGGATACCACCATGCCGAGGCTGGATCTCTTTGCCTACAACAACCATAACGAGAGCATTTTCGATGATTATCGATACTTCCCAGGACTCAAGCGGGATCATGAGTCGGTGGTGAAGTTTGACGCCAGCAATGACGAGTTTATCAACCACGCTACCCTCAAGGCGTTGGTGGTTCAGCTCACGTCTCCTGAGGTGATTGACTACAACCTAATCTGTGACTTCTTTTTGACCTACAGAACCTTCTCAGATAGCCATACCGTGCTCAATCTCTTGCTTACAAGGCTCATATGGTCTCTCCAATACATCAATTCCAAAACAGAGGACACCCAGCACATCGGTCAGCTTGTCTTGCTACGTACTTTTGTTGTGTTGAGACATTGGGTGTTGAACTACTTTCTTGACGACTTTGACGCTGATCCCAAGCTCGGTGACACCTTTGTGTTCTTCATGAACCAGATCACAAACGAGTCTGCTTTCGTCCGTGACGACATGGTTTTCGAGCGCAAGATCATTTCTGACTTGAAGACCCATTGGCTTTCCCAGGTTGAGGAATTCTACAACGCCGGCTTGTCTGACCAAAACGTGTTTGCAATGACCCTTCCCTTGCTCTCAGAGGTGGCTAACTTCAGGAAGTTGCCCAAGCTGAGCACGCAAACTTCGCTTCGTACAAACCCATCGTTTAGACGGTCGGCCATGCTCTCGCTTTACGACCAGCGAGCTCACTACAAATGTCTCATTCATGACGAGTCCACCACTAATGACGAAAACCCCCAGCTTTCCATTAATAATCTATTGTTCCAACACAAGTCGTCTAGATCTTCGTTGAACGACAAACTCTCAGAATTCCAAGGCAAGAACCGCAAGACGACTCGCAAGCCCTTGGCTCCTATTCAGCATCACAATAATCCCAAGCATAATTACAAGGGTCTCAAGGACTCTTCGTTGGCATTGAAAAAGACCTCAAACCCGTCCGCAGATGCAGACGACGCTGAGACGCCTTTCACATCCTCTGGCTTTTCCACTAATGGCCATGTTAAGCTCCCATCATCAAGAGTGTCCAACATTCTTCCGCCCACGCCGGTGAAGAAGATGGACATCACCTTGAAGCACACACCAACACGTTCAGATTCTAGAAGGAGGCCAAACTTTTCAGACGGCTCCATGTTTAATGAGATGGATAGAAAAACCTCCATCAAGAAATTCGTTGACGGATGGAAAAAGTCTTTTAACGAAACTAAAGCCGAGTCTCCATTCCTGAGCCCGAAGCCCTCTAACGCATCAACGTTCAAAACTAGCGTGCAATCTATGCCAGAGACGCTTCAAGTTGGAAACCGTGTGGATATCCTTAGTGCAAGAATTGTCGACGAGCTTGAATATCTCATTCACTACTACATTGCCGAGCAGAGCAACGCCATAACAGAGACCGAGGATAGAGATGACATAAGCCGATCTGAAATTAGATTTGACAGTCCGGCCAAGGAGTCATTTGTCGATGTGAATGTCGATGATGACAAGAGTAATAGATCACCAACGAAACCAGATGTGCAAGAGGATGTCACCAACGATGACATATCGATGCAAGATTTGCCCGACTTAAGTATCGACAGGATCGATAACTTTTTCAAAAGCAGCACTAGTCAAGGCGATAGGTTGTCCGAACAAAAGAATGATAGATCGAAAATAAGTTCTTTCTATGTTGGACAGAATGTGTCTGGAAGTTCGTCTTTTGGAAGAGTGGCCAGTCTCAATTGGAACGATGAAGGCAATCTTAACTTGGAACATTCTGAAGAGCTTGATGAATCCCTCACGAATGATGAAGTATTTAAAGAAGACGCCCTTCGAGCAGAACGAATGATCAAGTCGGGGACACAATATTTCGATGTTCCCAGCGATAATGAGAGCAACGACAAGTCAAACTCATCCATCTCGACTCCAAGTGATATCGCAAATTACAAAGACGAGGTAGTTGACTTAAATATTGCCATGAGTCCTCAATCCATGAAGAGGCAGGTGACAATGCAGCGTATCAACCGATGCGATTCCCTGGGAATTTCGATGGGCAAGCGCTATTCAATGATGCTGAGAAACTCCAGTGGGTCCATGCTTAAAAGAGAATCGATAAAATCATACCTCAGTTACGATTCAGCGTACTCGATCGCGGGTTCGGAAGTTAAGGCCGTGGAGGGTGGCAACTTGAAGAAGAAGCACGCCATTCAAGATTTGAGAAGACTCGCCCAGCATGATGGGAACGAAGCGGGCTTCATGGAGTCAAGCGAATTTCAGAATGGATCGCTTTCACAATGGAAAGGCACGAGATCAAGTCACTTTTCTTCCAGATCATCCATCAGAAAGAGTGTGAGGTTCAGTACCCTTTGTGCATTAACTGAGTTGCCCTTCAATCACTGCCGTGACAGCTATCAATCTGGCTCTTTGCTCGATAGAAACAGCCATTCAGGCAAACTGTCTGCCATCGATGATAGCTCAGTGTTCTCCATCGCTGCAAAGGAGAAGGTTGATCGCACTTCTAAGGCTGACCATAAGAGCGTCAGTGATGAATCCTCATCGAACTCTGTTGCAATTCCAGGGATCAGCAGCTACGTTTTAAAAGAACTCGCTGCCATTCCTGACGAGTCGTTCAATTCCGCTACCAACCCAATCCAGAACGCACTTTCTAAATTGGAAGGAAGGGTCAGACTCGTCAAATCAAAGTCTGGCTACACAATAGAAAGGAAAGACGGCGGGAAACACCAAAGCATAATAAGTACCCAACCTGCGGATGAGGGGACCCGAATCGAAACTTTTGAGGATGATAAGAGCATGGAAGAAGACGAGGAGGCTGAAGCAAACGACATTCATAACAACACAGAGGACATCTTGGCTGAGATTAACAATGCTGTGACTGAGGATGCAATTGAATACTCCTCAGATGTCGAGAAGGAGTTTAAGGAAAAGCCTCTTACCCCTATCAAGACAAGGGTTAGATCTGCGCTTAACATGCCATCTGCAACTCACAATATGAATACTTTCTTGATGAGCGGAACCAACAGTGAAAATGCAAGTCCATTTTCAGTTCTTTCGCCAAAAGCCGTTTTGGATCGCTATTGTCTTGGATCTGAGCACCTTACAATCCACAACGTCATGGAGCATTCCTCGCACGTTTCTTTTGTTCTAAGCTATGACTCCAAGTCCTTGGCTGAGCATTTCACTATGATTGAAAAGGATATGCTTCAAGATATCGATTGGAAGGAGCTCATCGAATTGAACTGGAACAAAGAGCTCACACCTGTCAACAGTTGGCTAGAGATCATTGTCAATGACAATTACTATACACAGAACAAGGGTGTGAATTTGGTGATTGCCCGTTTCAACTTGATGGTGAACTGGATCATATCTGAGATCTTGCTTACGAAGGCGGAGAGCGAGCGCATAGCCATCATGTCAAGATTTATTCATGTGGCACAACACTCGCAAATCACGCAGAACTTCTCCACATTGATGCAAATAATATTGGCTTTGACCAGCGAGAAGATAAGCAAGTTGAAGGAGACTTGGAAAAAGCTTCCACCCGGTGATCTCTTGACATTGAAGAATTTGGAAGAATTGACGTCGCCGCTCAAGAACTTCATCAATATTCGTCTTTGCACTAATCAGGTAAGGCCCTCAATTGGATGCATTCCGTTTGTCGGTCTTTACCTTTCGGACTTGATCTTTAATGCCGAGCGTCCTAAGTTTGTGAAGCGCCAACAAAAGCCTCTAGACCCACCAGCCAGGGGCGGGACAGCAAGTGCCTCCGAGAGGAGTGTCACGATAGGGGACTCGACCACGGGGCTGGACGCGGAATCGGAGTCTGAGAGGCTCATTAACTTTTCTAGATTCAGAACTTCGGTGCACATTGTCAAGTCACTCTCGCAAAGCATTGAGTGGTCGAGGAATTACGATTATCCTGTGGATGAGGAGTTGCTCCGCAAGTGTCTCTACATCAAGTCACTTGACGAAGAGGAGATGAACTACTGTGTGAAGAATGTGGTCACCTAATCGTTATCAGTAAATAGAACAATGCAGGTGAATACAGAGGAGGGGAGGAATCTTGTTGGGCGCACCCGAGGGTCCTTTGCGCACTTCCGAGGTCGGCGTCGAGGGTCCACCGAGGGTGTCCGAGGGTAGCAAGCCGCTCCAAGTCAGGGACCCTAGAGTGGTGAGGCAGTTCCGTTTGCCCCACAAGACCCGTGCACCACACTGTTCCGTATTCCGAGGGTGGAGCAGACACAGGTTAAATAGAAGACCAACAAACGTTCCCCACGCTCTATATAGCACGCTTTATCAAGTCTCGAGATCCGCTTCATCTCAATACCATCTTTTAGCAAAATGGGAAGAAAAAAATCACCAGCACTTTGGATCTCGGCTGTTGTCGCTACGTCGGTGGCAGCAGCTGGTTACGAGTTTTATAAGTACCTTACCAAGGACGAGGAGCAAACGATTAGTGCCTCCAAGTACACCAACAAGTCCATTGCATTGACGTTGCTGCATTCGGTGCTCAGCTCCGACTTGCCCCTAGAAGAAATCATCATGAACCTGCAAAACGTCACCTTCATTTTACCTCCACATCTCCTGGTTGACGACTTGGCCGGGAACATCGACACTCTGCAGAGCGGATTGTCCCAGACACTTCTCAACAACTACAAGCTACTCAGGTGCCTGAATTTGGACGGCTATTTCCACATGCTCAAGAACCTAAAGCCGGACACGCTAATTGTGTGTGCGGACGACTTGGGCATTCATGACAAGATGCCCAGGGACTTGCCCCGCTTTGTTCCTGAGGTTGTCACCTTGGATCAGAACAAGGAACGGGTTCTGTCGATCTTGACCAAGGTGTTCTTGAGGTAGCTTTTTTATTATATTACCAGCACAGCCGAGCCGGGGCCGGCCAGGTGCAAAATAGGTCACTATATTTCATTCATATACTAACGTAGCTAATTAACGGCCAGCCAATCTGTCCTTGTTGGCGATCTGGTCAATAGAAACACCGAACATCAACTCGCCCAAGTCAGTAGACACCTCCAACAACTTGGCTGGGTCGTTGTAGTGGGTCACAGCGTCCACAATGGCCTTGGCCAACTTCTCGGGGTTCTTGGACTTGAAGATACCAGAGCCCACGAAAACACCATCACAGCCCAATTGCATACACAAGGCAGCGTCAGAAGGTGTGGCAACACCACCAGCGGCAAAGTTCACCACTGGCAACTTACCCTCGGCCTCAATGAGCTGGTCCAAAAGCTTCTTTGGCACTCTGTACTCGTCAGCCAACTTCTGCAAAGCGTCCTGGTTGCCAGCCAAAGACAAGACGTGCTTGATCTGGCTGGTGACAATGCGGATATGCTTGATGGCCTCGGAAATGTCACCGGTACCAGCCTCACCCTTGGTTCTCAACATGGCAGCACCCTCGTTGACTCTTCTCAAGGCCTCACCGAGGTCCTTGGCACCACACACGAATGGAACCTTGTAGTCGTTCTTTGGGATGTGGTGGGACCAGTCGGCTGGGGTCAAGACCTCCGACTCGTCGATGTAGTCCACCTCCAAAGCCTGGAGGACCTGGGCCTCGACAATGTGACCAATACGGCACTTGGCCATCACTGGGATCGAGACGGACTCAATGATGGACTTGATCATCTTTGGGTCACTCATACGGCAAACCTGGCCGGAGTTTCTCATGTCAGCTGGGATTCTCTCCAACGCCATGACGGCACAAGCACCGGCCTTTTCGGCGATCTTGGCCTGCTCGGGCGTGACAACGTCCATAATAACACCGCCTTTAAGCATCTGGGCCAAACCGCCCTTCAAAACAGATTCAGACATGAGAAGAGTAAGTGGTAGGAAAAGAGTAGTGGGTGAAAAGTGTGGAAAATGACTAACGTTTTTTCATCAGAGTCAGCGCGCGGGTATGCGCATACATGGCGTTAGTCAAACGTGGGGCAGAACCCTGGAGTCCGAGAAGGCATTGGTGATGATATGCCCCGCAATGCTGGCCGAATTCTTTACAATTACAGTAATTGATCAACTTTTTGGTGAAAATAGGGCTGAAAACCCTCATTTTCCGTTGTCTTGGCAACCGGTTGGGCATTTCGATCCACCCAAGACCATCTGCTGAATAGCCGCTCTGCTCGCTCTTCCTTGCCGCGAGGGTACTTACGGCACTGGGGTAAAGACCCCTAACACGATTTCCCGGGGACCCGGGGTAAAACTCAAAAAAGGTTTTATGTAAAAAACCCGCTTGTGGTGATAAACGCCATTAGCGGCATACCCTCTTTTTTTCTATCGCCCCATTCCGTCTTGATCCGTTGACTCCGTCTGACTTTGTGAGCATTTTTCACTCGCACTGATAAGACTCACAACCATCTATTCTTCCTAGTTGACCTCATGACACAACAATTCACCGTGGGTGTGTTGGCCCTACAGGGAGCCTTTGCTGAACACTTGGCTCATTTGGCTCGTGCCGCTGCCGAGTCCCCCATCCTTCACAAACACACCTTCTCCTTCGTCGCTGTGAGAACCCCAGAGGAGCTCTCCAAGTGCCATGCTTTGGTCATCCCCGGAGGTGAGTCTACAGCAATGTCTTTGATTGCCGAAAGAACCAAGATGCTCGAGCCTCTTCGGCAGTTTGTCGCTGAAAAGCCTGTTTGGGGCACCTGTGCCGGTCTCATCTTCATGGCATCCTCCATCACCAACGCTAAACCTCACCAGCACGCCTTGGGTGGTCTTGCCGTTCAGGTAGCTCGTAACGCTTTCGGTAGACAGCTTGACTCGTTCCTGTGCGACAGCGACTTTTCAGCTTTTGCTCCGCTGCTCAAGTCCTTCAACACTGTCTTCATCAGGGCACCTGTGGTTTCTGCAGTGGCTGCCAAGGGTCAATGGAAGGAGGTTGGACCAGAGCTTGACCACAAGGCCTTGTTGGAAGCTGCCACAGTTGTCGAGGCTGAATGCACCAACGAGGCTCCAGTTGAGATCTTGCACGAGTTGGAGAACGGCTTGGTAGTAGCTGTGCGCCAGGGCAAGCATTTGGGCACTTCATTCCATCCTGAACTTGCAAACGATGCTCTGTTCCATGCTTGGTTCTTGGAGGAGTTTGTGGTTGGCGAGGTTCAGGCCTGAAGGAGGAACATTTAGACACATCGAGCGACAAAATATAGAAAGGCTCGAAAATAATGAATTACTAGAGTATAATGCTGTAGGAGATTGATTTATATTGATATCAATCCCTCATCAGATAAGCCCATTACTATGATGGCATTCTTATGATTTCCGCAGCAAGGCTGTCACATTATCATCACAATTATAGCAATCATGGCAATCAATTCAATGTGCTCTAAATCCAATTTTTTCACCCTCATCTTTAAACTTCATAGTTCTGCCTTTACAATGGCAGCTTGGTGATATATCGCTACTACTGCATCTGTTCTCACATAGATCAAGTACTCCATCTTCTGCTATGCAGCATGCCAGATGGACCAACGGCAGGGCTAAAACCCCGGTCAACGATAATGATGACCTCACAAAATATCTACGAAAGTCACCAGAGGTACCAATGGGCAGGCTTCAGCCTAAGGCTTCCACATTGACTGTGGGAAACATGTCTCTAAACACTCCAGGAAGCACCCTTACTGTGGGCAAGCACAAGGTCACTACATCTGCAGGTGTTCGGCATGGACACAACTTTCGAAGTTTTACTGACCCTGTTGCGTATAATAAGCAAAATGCTAGGAACATCAATTCCAGCCAGGCAAGTGCTAGCGCTCTGGTGGATGATACTACCCTGGACGACCCTATCCAGCTTACAGTGTGGTTTCACGAACCACGGTCCTATACGGAAGATGTTGTCATTGATGCATCTGCTGTGCCAGGTGTCAAGGAGGGTGGGATCTACTGCCTAGAGCCGGTACTCAAGGACGATCAGCGCAGAACAAAGTCCAGGCGGTTTGTTTTCACTGCTTTGAAAGAAAACATCATCAGAGATTCTAATGCAAAAGGGAAAAGCAATCTACAGATCTCGCTTCTATCCACCCCGCTTCAAAAGCTTCTAGATATCCCTCCTCGGTCTCCGGTGCTGCTACAACGTATCAGAGACATCTCTGAGGTGGAGCTAGACACAGTCGAAATATACCTTAAGGATGTCAATTTCCCTCGAGACTCGCAATGGGGGTTGGCTTCAGCTTTTGTTGGAAAATGCTGCTACATGGATCAGCGAGTACTCTACTTGGGCAATAGAGTGGGTCAGATACGACTGACATTCAAGGATGGAAAAAAGCTTTTCCGCGGTTACGTGGGTGAAAAGACAAACATAATCTTCCGTTCAGAAAGTGCCAAATTGGTGTTTCTTGTACAGATGTCCAGAGAAATGTGGCATTTCGAGGAGAACGGAGAGATAATGTTCCACAAACTTGTCAACACCCTCTTTCCTAAGATATTTAAGAAATGGCTTTCTGCTAGCTCCCACCATTCCATAACAATCGTGCTCTTTACAAGCATTGACCTCACACAAATACCTTGGATCTCATTGGGACCTGGCGAGCGTCCATCAAAGTCCCAGGAATACTATAGAGTAGTGGTTGACCAGGTAAGTGTATTTAGCTGGGACAAGATTATGGCCAGTTTGCGGTTGGAGTTTGCCAATTTCAAGCGTGATGTGTTGGTTCATCTTACCGACAACTACTACAAAATATCTGGTGAACCATGTCCTGCTGTCAAGGGCAACTTGTTAGAAGCCGTCAACTTGACTATCAGTCTCTTTTGTGACAGATTCAGGAATACAGATTTACGACACACAGTCAACCACATGATCGTCGTCACTCCAGGTACCGGTCTTTACGATGTCGATTACGATCTTATGCTCGAAACTTCGAAGAAGATGTTCAGCTTGGATTGTGCACTCGACATTGTATCCTTGAGTCAGCCTCCATTACACACTGTGCCATTGTTGAGATTTCGAGATACAAAAGGTCTTGTGGGCCATTGTGTTCCTAAATGGTGTGATATTTCTTTCTACACCGATACTGACGAATGGTCTTCCCAATGGATCCCTCGTTGCAAAATCTATGAGCTTCAGATGATGGGTGTGATGGAGAACGAGATTAACGAGATACTCATTGATCGGTTGACTCTTCGAAAAGAGATGCCTGTCGTTGAGGCAATGGACATTTACGACGACGACGCTTTCAAACCTATTTCAAGAAAGAGGACCATTCCGGTGAAGAAGACCAACTCAGGAAAAATTCTACTAGAGAAGAGAAGCACTGCCACGCTCTCTCTTATGGGTAAGTTCCCCTTGTCGACCATTAATATTCCACAACTTGCGCCAGAGACTGCCAAGTCCAACGTCTCAACAACTACATCGGCTGTCCATGGAACAGTTCTGAACATACCGTCTGATACCTCCGCATTGTCGACTTTGTACACCTTGAACCGTACCGTCGACGAGCCACAAAATCGTGGTACTCCTTTGGGAAGAGAAAGATCAACCACGCCATCTGAGGCAAGTATTTCGCTGGCAGTCAGAGTTCATCCTGCAAGAAGATTTGAACAGGTGATTCGACCCAAGATTCTCAAGCCGCCTGACAACAAGAAGCGTAAAAGCAAACGGAGCTCCAATGATGGTACATTGGAGAAAATAAGCAAAAGCAAAAAGGTTTCAACTGAGGAGAAGGAGCGAGAAGAACGTCTCAAAAATAATCCTTATTGGATGAAAATCTCCAATCCATCAAGAGAGTTGGCTTCAGAAAGTATTCGATGCAGCAGATGGGCTGATGTGTTCCCGCCTCAAATCAAGAGAAAACTTGTTAAATGGAGATCTCTAAAGGCCCCAGCAGCTCTTCCCATTGCAACAACCCTTTTTCCAACTGTGAAGGAGCTTGAAACTGAGTACACCTTTCAAATCTACGTGGTCTCCCTCAACTTCGAAAATAAGTTGGAGTTGCGGACTACTCATCAGCTTATGCGTGAGATGATTCGCTTGCGGCTTGCCACTGGTTTTCAAATATGTCAGGGCGAGAGTGTACGAAATGCAGAAGCTGAACGAAAGCCTAGCGGTAGCCCGGAGAGCTTAATCAAGTACATGCCGCAGGGTAACTGTACTGGTGCCCGCATATATTTGTCGTTGAATGATGAGATCCACAGGATATTTTGTGACTACAACGGTACATTGAACGTGCAATTATACCGAAGATCGCAGCCTCAAGAAGCCCCAAAGAACACATTTGGTCGCCAAAAACACGACGAAGCAAGCAAGCCTTTGATAAGAACAAGATATGCCGATGAGTATACCCCAACCGCGATCACAGCACAAGGAACGAAACCATATACCTACAATTGGAATCAGTTCGATCAACTTCTAGCCGGTTACGATGATGCAGTTGGTGAGACAAGAGAATTTCACAAGATGAAGTTTGTTGTCATGCCAGGAGATATGCCACAAAACGCACACCATATCGGCAATGATAGTCTCTCAGACGAGGAGATCAGAGTTGAAGGTTTGAGAAAGTTGATATCTGTGATTGAACGTGGGAGGTATGTTCGCCTGGACGAAAAGAAACCCAAAAAGAAAGAAGAAATCTTGCCTGAGATCAATTTCTACACGGGAAATCTCTTCGACTTCCTCAATGAACAAGCTGAAATATTCGCCAGCAGTGGTACACAGCCAACCAATTCCTTGATGGTATCTGACGCCAAATTCAATACCAATATTAAATTGAGCACACTTGCGGAACGACTTCAATCTCCTGGAGGTCTCAAGCTTGTGGACAGAACTTGGCATTTCAAGGTACATCCACTGTGTTTCTTGGGTCAAGAGCTTGTTTCGTGGCTCA